CTAATTACACAGGTTTACCTGGTATAGTCCATTTGTAATTTTTTTTTTAATTTTTTTATTGTTATGTTAATCACCATATATTACATCATTAGTTTTTGATGCAGTGTTCCATGATTCATTGTTTGTTCATAACACCCAGTGCACCATGCAAAACGTGCCCTCCACAATACCCATCACCAGGCTAACCCATCCCCCCACCCCCCTACCCTCTAGAACCCTCAGTTTTTCAGAGTCCATCATCTCTCATGGTTCGTCTCCCCCTCTGACATACTCCCCTTTTCTTCCTCTCCTGTTTCCATTTGTAATTTTAAAATCAAATCTCTAGAGGTCACTGCAGACTATTTTGTAGAGCACTTTTGGCTTCCATTGCACGGTGACATTTCAGCTTTTTTTTTTTTCTTTTCTCATTTTTGTTTCACCTGAGTTTTCTTTTCCTGTTTGAATTATGTTATAGTTCTGGTCTTAGGGTGGCAGCAACGCAGGTTTTTCTGGTCTACAAGAAGCAGGGCTTGACTAGGCATTCTCATCTGGATGGCTCAGAAATGGGGAGGCTTGGGCGCCTGGGTGGCTCAGTTGGTTAGGTGACTGCCTTCGGCTCAGGTCATGATCCCAGAGTCCTGGGATTGAGTCCCCCATCGGGCTCCCTGCTCGGCGGGGGGTCTGCTTCTCCCTCTGACCCTCCCCTCCTCATGCTCTCTATCTCATTCTATCCCTCAAATAAATAAAGTCTTTAAAAAAAAAAATGGGGAGGCTTGAAGGAGAAGGATGCAGGGCCACACTTAAAACTGAGCAGTGCAGGGCAGCAGAAGGATCAGGGGACATGGTAGCATTGGTCGTGAGGCTGTCGGTGGTGGTGTCTACTTCATCCAGCCCTGGTTAGCTGCTCAGCCTGCATAATTCTTGGCAACATCATGGCAGAACAGTCTCCTTAAGCACCATTAGTTTGTAGGCCACACCAAAGGGGGCTAGGTGCCTCCCTGATTTTCATCAAACATCTGAGTGCCTTTGCTGAGCTGTTGGGGCATTACAGAATGTGGAACAAACATTGTTCCTGGTTTTGAGTACTTTTCTCTAGCTTGATGGTCTTGGCTTCTTAATGGATTCGTGGGTCTGTGAGCCTCTCTGATTTTAGTGTCATCTGCAAAGTGGATCCTTTTTGCCTCAGCTTCCAGGGGATTTGACAAATGGCATCGCCATCCGTTCAGTTAGGCAGGCCGGAAAGATGGCACCCTTTTCCTTATATGAGCCTACAGTCTTTCATCAAATCCTGTACATCTTTCAGCACCACTGCCTGCTCAGACCTACCTCGTGTTGGCTTCTCTTTGCTTTCTCTATCTGGCAGCCCAAGGGGTCTTTCTGAAATGCCAGTCTCTGTTATTCCTCTGCTTGAAACCCTGAGAATCCTGTTTAGCACCCTCCTTGGTGGCCTCTCATTGCTGTCAAGGTAAAATCCAAACTCCTTGGAGGAGTGTTCCTGACTCTTTATTATTTACCCCTTTAACTTCTCCCCCCCACCCCCACTTCTCCCTATCAGGAAATGGAGTCAGAATTTGCTGGGTAGTGGGCAGAGCCAAGGTAAACTAATTTCTCTGTACTTTTGTGTGGTGCCTTACATTGTTATTATTTTAGAGCACTTCCATGGTGCCTTACATTGTTATTATTTTAGAGCACTTCCATTATCCCGTAAAATTATCTCATGCCTGCAGTCACTCCTAGTGCCCGCTCTCAGCCTTTGGCAACCACTGATCTGCTTTCTGTCATTGCAGTTTTGCCTTTCCTAGAAATTTCATGTAAATGAAGTGATATGAGAGATAGTCTTATGTGTCTGTTTTCCTTCATCATGTTTTTGAGGTTCATTCATGTTGAGTATATATTAATATTCACTCCTTTTTATTGCTAAGTAATACTCCATTATATAGATTTACCATATTTTGTTTATCCATTTACCAGTTGATGGACATTTGGATTATTTTCAGTTTTGGCTGTCATAGTAGTCCTATTTGTAAACATTCACATGCAAGTGATGTGTGGACACATTTTCATTTCTTTGGGGTATATATGTATGTGTGGAATTGCTGAATCCATATGTTAAACGTACATTTAATTCTGGCTTTAATTTCCATTTTTTTCAATGACTAGTGATGTCAGATATCTTTTCATGTGGTTACTTGCCATCAGAATATCTTTGGTGGGGGCACCTGGGTGGCTCAGTTGTTAAGCATCTGCCTTCGGCTCAGGTCATGATCCCAGGGTCCTGGGATCGAGCCCCTCATCGGGCTACCTGCTCCACGGGAGGCCTGCTTCTCCCTCTCCCACTCCCCCTGCTTGTGTTCCTGCTCCCGCTGTCTCTCTCTCTCTCTGTCGAATAACTAAATAAAATCTTGACAGAGAGAGACACAGTGAGAGCTGGAACAAAAGCAGGGGGAGTGGGAGAGGGAGAAGCAGGCCTCCCGCCTGGAGGGAGGGAAAAAGCAGGGAGCCCCATGAGGGGCTCGATCCCAGGACCCTGGGATCATGACCTGAGCCGAAGGCAGACGCTTAACGACTGAGCCACCCAGCCGCCCCTAACTAAATAAAATCTTAAAAAAAAAAAAAAATTAGAATATCTTTGGTGTAGTCTAGGGTTATGAACACAGATATGATTTATTTTTTTAAGATTTTATTTATTTGGGAGAGAGAGAGCACACGCACGCTAGTGCATAAGCAGGGGTAAGGGCAGAGGGAGTGGGAGAAGCAGACTCCCCACTGAGCGGGGAGCCCGATACAGGGCTCTATCCCAGGACCCCAGGATCATGACCTGAGCCAAAGGCAGACGCTTAACTGACTGAGCCACCCAGGCACCCCATAGGTATGATTCTTGATAGACTGTGCCTAATTGCCTCTTAAGAGGGCTTAGGTTTCACTATAGTACCTTCAAAATTGGGTAATTAAAAAGTCAGCTAATTTAATGGGTATCATTAATTGGAGGATATGCTGACCCTGGTTTACTGTTGAGGTTGGAGCTAACGGGGGTTCTCAGGTGATCGGCTCATGGCTGTACTGAAACTGCCAGGCCAATTCCCAGTTCTCTCCTTCTGTTATCCTACAGCCACACAGAGAAAACCATACCCTCCTGCTTTGGGGGGATGTAATGTGTTTGGAAGGCTGCTGTGCTCCCCACTTTACCATCAACTTGATATAATATATTTGTTGTTCAGTTTCCTAGTTTGACAAATTCTGGCAATTGCCATACTGATTTTCTTAAAAAATTTTTTATTGTGGTAAAAAGCACAGAACATAAAACGCCATACTTTTTTTTTTTTAAAGATTTTATTTATTTATGTGAGAGAGAGAGAATGAGGTAGAGAGCACGAGAGGCAAGAGGGTCAGAGGGAGAAGCGGACATGGGACTCGATCCCGGGACTCCAGGGTCATGACCTGAGCCGAAGGCAGTCGCTTAACCAACTGAGCCACCCAGGCGCCCTACCATACTGATTTTATCCAAGACATAAATGCACTTCCTTTAAGAGTCCAATAGTTCTGTAAGGCTTATTGTGAAAAAGAGCAGTCCCCTGGTGTGTTTTTCCCCCAGAAAAAACCTCTTAATGCTTAACCTCAGAGGCAGCCTCATTGTTTCTTTTTGAGCTGTTTGTTTTGTTTTTGCTTCCATATATAAGTAGCTATTCTCTTGACTTCCCTGTTTAGAGCTGAGAATTGGGTTTTCTTTCATTTCCTCCTTCCAGCTTATTCCCTTCTCCTCCCAGTGCAGTTACAATTTTTTCTGAATCAATATTCAGTGTTTCAGTAGGCAAGTCAAACTCTATGTACCGCTGTTTAGTATCTTTCTGAAAGGTGATTATGAGGTAAGCACTTACATAAATCTGTGTTTGTTAAAATCATGTGTTTACTTTATTAGAACTGTGGAAACACTATTCATAGGTGAGCTGTATGGTATACTCCGATCACTTTGCCTTTCTTGCATAACTCTTTCCTAATAATGGTCTTCTTTTCGCTTTGTTTTCTATGTATACATCATTCTTTTAGGCCCAAACTTTCCCCCAGTAGTCTAAATTTCCTTTCAGAAGGAAAGGTCAAAACAGTCGGCTATTTTTTTTTTTAAGATTTTATTTATTTATTTGACATACACAGAGAGAACACAAACAGGCAGAGCAGCAGCAGAGGGAGAGGGAGAAGCAGGCTTCCCGCCGAGCAGGGAGCCCCATGCGGGGCTCAATCCCAGACCCTGGCATCATGACCTGAGCTGAAGGCAGATGCTTAACCGATTTAGCCACCCAGGCACCCCAACAATCGGCTGTTCTTTCAGTTTTGTCTTCTTGGAGATTATCTCTGGGATCATTTTGACCTGCTTTAGTCCAGACTGGGTGCTCTACAGACTTGCTGTGTATCTGTCATCCTGGATTTCTTGTTTATTGTCCTGCAGATTTCCTTCACTTTTCTTTTTAGATTGAGTCCTCTGTTTCCTGGCTCCCTGGTGTTCCTCTGTGGTTCACTCTCTCTTTTTGGCTAAGCAGAATCTTCCTCAGGTTCTTGTGAGAGGGTGCATGGGAGGTGAGTGTTTGGAAACTTTGCTAATCCTAAAACTTCTTTATTCTGTCCTTACACTTAAGACTTAGGCTGAATATGGATTCTAGTTTGGAAATCACTTCCCATCAGAATTTTGACATTATCCATTTTCTTTTCTTTTTTAATTTTTAATTTTTTTTTAAAGATTTTATTTTTAAGTAATTTCTACACCCAACATGGGGCTCGAACTCAGAACTCGGAGGTCAAGAGTCGCCTGCTCCACCAACTAAGCCAGCCAGACACACCTACCCATTTTCTTTTAGAGTTCAGTGCTGCTATTTTGAGATCTGGTACCATTCTTAGTCTTTAAAATGCTTGTGAGAGACATACAGAAGAATAAAACATGTGTGCACAGTTTAAGAAAGAATAATAAAATAAATGCTCATACACTTACCAATCAGCTTAAGAAATAGAACATTACCATTACTCAGAATTCCCGTGTGCCTCCCTCCCCTCAGAAGTTTCCACTGTCTTGAATTTTCTATCAGTCACTCTCTTGCTTTTCTTTGTAGTTTCACCACCTACTCTGTATTAAAAAGTAAATTCTTAGTTTTGCCTGTTTTTGAACTTCATATAATGGAGTCATACTGTGTTTATACTTTATGACTTGCCTCCTTGCTCACCATTATTTTTGCGATTCATCCATTTTGCATGTAGCTGTAGTTCATTCACTACTGGATACACTTAATCCGTTGTATAAGCGTATCATTACTTACCTATTCTGTTGGTAGACTTTTGGGTTGTTTCTAGCTTCTTGCTGTTGTAAGTGGTGCTGCTAGAACGTTCCAGGACCTGTACTCTGGTGCACATGCACACTTTTCTCTAGGTTGTGTATACCTAGGACAGGAGTTGCTGCCTGTTGAGTTTGTTCAGCTTTAGTAGGTAACGTCAGATTCTCTCCCAAAGCGGTCATGCCTCTCTACATTCTCCTACTTGTGAGTGATTGTTCTTGTTGTTTCACATCCTTGCTAATATTTGGTATTAACCAGTTTTTTACATTCTTGTCAATCTGGTGGGTATGAACTAGTCTGTCAGTGTAATTTTAATTTGCATTCCTCTGGTTGCTACTAAGTATGAGTTCTTTTTGTTTGTTCATTGGCTTTTCATGTTTTTTATGACTTGGTAATTTACAGGAGTTCTTTATATATTTTGGGGGCTAATCACCTGTCAGTTACATTATTGTAGGTGTCTTTGTTGGTTGTTTTTTCATCTGATAAATGCAGGTTCTTAATGTCAAATTTATTTTTATATGTCCTTTATTGGCTGGTACTTTTTGTCTCTTGTTTAAGAAATCCTTCCCTTTGCCAAGGTTTTAAAGGCTATTGCCGATATATAAAATTTCAGTTGATTTTTAGTTATCAATTTGAAATTCTGTAACTTCCTAAGTTTACTTAGTTGTAGTAATTATCTGTAGGTATTTTAGGTTTTTGCAGACATTCATGTATGAATAATAACAATGTGCTTTCTAGACCTTATTTCATTTTTTCTTGCTCTAGTATATTGGATAGAATTCCCAGTATAAAGTCCACTTCATCTGATTTTTAAAAAATTTATTTGCTAAAAGTTGTTCATAATCTTTAATCTCTCTAATATCTGCAGCATATATCCGATGCCCCACCTCGCTGCTCCCTGCCTTATTCCCAGTTTTTGGGTACTTCTCCTCCCCCACCTTTTTTTGGACTTACCAGAGGTTCATCAATTTCAGTCGATTTTTGAAATAACTTTTATTAAAAAATCCTATAAAATCTCTATATTCCCTAGTTCATTAATTTTTGTGTTTTATTATTTTTAGTCATCTGCTAATTTGGCAGTTACATTGCAGTCCTCTTTCTAATTTTTTCTTTTTTAAAAAATTTTATTTATTTATTTGATAGAGACACAGCGAGAGAGGGAACACAAGCAGGGGGAGTGGGAGAGGGAGAAGCAGGCTTCCCACTGAGCAGGGAGCCCGATGTGGGGCTCGATCCCAGGGCCCTGGGATCATGACCCGAGCCGAAGGCAGACGCTTAACCGACTGAGCCACCCAGGCACCCCCTCTTTCTGAGTTTTTGAGGTGGATGCTTACCTTATTGTTTGTCTTTTCTAGTATGTTTCTCTCCAAATACTGCTTTTAGGTACCCCCTGAGTTTTGATATGTAATTTTTTAAAAATTCAGTTCTAGATATTTTCTAATTCTTTTGATTTAATTTTTTACCTGTGATTTTAGAATTTCTCAGTGTTCAAAAGTCTCTTTAGTTATATTTTTGTTACTGAGATTTCTAACCTGATTGCACTCAGGTCAGAGAATATTGTCCTTTTGATACCAGTCTTCTGTTGTGTACTATTGCATAACAAATTATCCCAAAATTTAATGGCTGAAGAGAGTTATCATCTCACCATTTCTGTGGGTTTGAAATCTGGGCTCAGCTTCGCTGCACCCCCTGGCAGGCTGTGATCAAGGTGTCAGCTGGTCATGCAGTCATCTTAAGGCTCAATTGGGAGGAATCCACTTATAGGTGTTTGGCTTCTTAATGTTTCTTACTAACTTGCCAGCTCATTAGTCATTTAAAAAGATTTGCAAGTATTTTCCCCATCATTTTTAGTTGTTTTCAACAGAAGGGTCAGGGTACCTCTTGAGCCAAACTGTTACAGTTAGCACATGTATCTGTTTAAGCTACCAAATAACCTGAACTAAAAACAAAGAAATGATTTCTTGGGGAGGGGATTATTTTGTAGACCAGGAACCTGTGTGAATTAGAGTCCAGTCAGGAAACCCAAAGCCAGGTTAGTCTTTCAATGGAGGGACTCGGTAACACAGATGTGGGAGGCCTGGGAAGCAAACGGGAGCACCGAGGTTCCCTAGTGGCAGCCATTGTGGGAAGCAGGTCCGTTGTCTGGGGCTGCGGAAACACAGAGAGGAGTAGGATTCTTGAGCCCGGAAGCGTGGAGGAGAGGCCCTGTGGAACTGGGGGGACAGCTGCTGGTGTGCTGCTGCCGTCCGAGGGGCGCGAGGCGGCTGGTGATGAGAGGACGGCGGGGAGCTGCCTCTGGAGCCGGCTGCCCCTCCTGGGAGGACACTGACGGAAGCAGCAGCCATTTGGGAAGGAACAAGTTTTCTCCGTCCTGCTGGTTGCCCTCTAGTTTCCCTCTTGTCCATACCGAATAGCTGGAAAAGGAGAATGTGGTTGGCAGAGCCCCAGCCCCTCGAAGCAGAGTACAGAGGAGGAGTGGATGTGGAGGGGAGGGACAGTCGCCAAATAAGGGGCAAGAGGCTGACCCCATGCTCTTGGAGTCTCACAGGGCCTGCCTGACCCAGCTAGCCAGGGCTGTTCCTTGAGGCCAGAAAGCCATGGCATCATGACTTACACTGTTGCTGCCAGCCGTGAGTCCCACACTTCACAAAGTACCTTTCCATTTATTTCCAGTAACTGGTATGAAGTGACAACTGTTTTCTCCCTTTCTCTTAGAATATAAAATATTACCAAGGTATCCGGGCTGCTGTGAGCAGGGTGAAGGACAGAGGACAGAAGGCCTTGGTTCTTGACATTGGCACTGGCACAGGACTCTTGTCAATGATGGCGGTCACGGCAGGGGCTGACTTCTGCTATGCCATTGAGGTGAGCCACACTCTTCAGTTGTGTGTCCTGTGTCTTATGTGGGGAGTCCCTCATGCACCTTGCCTATCCGTTTGTTCACACACGTTCACGGAGTGTTCACTCTGTGCGAAGCACAGGGTCGGGTTCTAAGGATATGGAGATGAATCAGACATAATTCCTTCTTCCAGGGGCTCATTTTCTCCTCGGAAAATAGCAGTTCTCAGCCTTGACTGCATGTCAGAATCACTAAATAGCTTCAAAAAATACTGATGCCTAACTGGCCTCTTCCCCCCCAGTTTTAATTTAATTATTCTGGGATGGGGCCTAGGCATTGGGAGTTTTGACTCTGCGCCAAGGTTGAGATCTGCTAGCTTAAATGTCCCCACAGAGCCAGCTATCTTACTATGTTTGTCAAGAATTGGGTGTTTAGGGACACCTGGGTGGCTCTGTCAGTTAAGTATATGCCTTTGGCTTGAGTCATGATCTCAGGGTCCTGGGATCAAGCCCCGCATTGGGCTCCCTGCCCAGCAGGGAGTCTGCTTCTCTCCCTCTCTCTCTCTCTGCCTGCCACTCTGCCCTGCTTGTGTGCTTGCTCTCTCTCAAATAAATAAATAAAATCTTAAAAAAAAGGAATTGGGTGTTTAATATACGATTAAACATACAGTTTTTCTGGTAATGTCAATAATGCATTCCATTATAGGAAGTATGGTAAATGTAAAATAAAAATAGTATGTTAACTCATAGTTAACCATTGTTAAAATTTTGGTGTATATTCTTCCCAGCTTTTGGAAAGGGGTGGCATGTATTTAAACACTTTTTCCTATGAAATTTGGTTTGTGTGGTGATTGAGTTGCAAATAACAAAGTCTCAAAATAACAGTGGTTTAAACAAGAGAAAAAGGGCACCTGGGTGGCTCAGTTGGTTAAGCATCTGCCTTCAGCTCAGGTCATGATCCCAGGGTCCTGGGATTGAGCCTCACGTCGGGCTCTCTGCTCAGTGGGAGCCTGCTTCTTCCTCTGCCTTTGCTCACCCTGCTTGTACTTTCTCTCTCTGTCAAATAAATAAAATCTAAAAAAAACACAAAAAACAAGAGAAGTGTTTTGTTTTCTCACACAAACTCTGAAGGTAGCACGCTGGGGTATTCTACTGAGGCTCTTTCCAGCTCCCCACCCACCATCCCCTCAGTATGGCTCTCACGCTCCTGATCTGGAAAGGTAGGCATTTTACAGAGTCATGGCAAATGGCGTCATGGTAGAAATCCAGAAAGGTGGATTGTAGTGAGACTATGGAGGACCTAAGTGCTACAATAAAGATTTGAAATTCCCATATCTTGAGTTAGTTCTTAACCTGAAGTAAGAATAGTGGGCTTCAGATTTCATGGAAGTCCTGAGAGCAGTGTGTGTGTGTGTGTGTGTGTGTGTGTGTGTGTGTGTGTGTGTGTGTG